TTTTGCCTCACCATATGGTCACCTCCAGGATGGGGATAGAACTCATGCTGAAGTGGCTTTAGCTTCTTAGTGCTATGCTTTAAACCATGGCGCCACCAGGGAGGGCCCTTGATACTTATTTTTAATCACCTGACAGATTAAAAAGTGAAATTATATGCCGTGTCATCTGCAAATTGTTGCACCAAAGGAACAATTTGTGATTAATAGGAGGTTTCAGTCTTTAATAGATAAACTAAGTCAGCTAAATAAGGATAACCTGACAACATTCTACTCTGATTATCCTCACAGGCTCCTCCACTACTCTGCAGGTATGGATTAGCTGGTAGGTGCTCATAATTTGCCAGAAAGATAAAACACTGCTTCAATAATATTTGTCATTGTTTAAGAGAATGAGCTTTTTCCAGGGGCCTAGTAATTATGCATTATATCTTTGGTATTTGTAACAACGAGTTTCACTTTTAATCTGCCATTTGACTGATGCAAGATCCTGGCTGGAGCATTTCAGCCTCCCTGTCTCAGGCACACTCCTCCAAGTACTACTTTTCATCTTTACTCTGCTCTGAAGCTTGAGCCTAAGGAAATGAGATACAGAAGATGAGTGACTTGCCAAGGTCGCATTTCCAGGAATGACAGAGTGGGAATCTACACCAGGGTCAGTCTCAGATCCCTTACACCATGCACCCGAAAAACCAGTTTTGATTGCTCACATTGCAGGGGAAGGAAAGAGGACTAGAGGGTGAGTGAAGGGGTGCACAACGAGGTACCTGAGCCCGCAACCCCCAAACGCCTGTACTGAGCCATCCATCGGCAGTCCAAGTGGAATAGCCTGCAGAGGTGAGTTATATTTCTTTGGGGCTCTGACCCAGCACAAGGCAACAAGCAAGAATCTGAGACACTGATCTGGCCAAGGACAAGGCAACACATCATCTTAGCATGAAGTGGATCTTAAGGGCAACCCGAGTCTCAAAGATGGAAATGGAAGCCAGAGTCCACCCAGAACAGACAACTCCTTTGGCTTTCAACATGAGAATCCAGGGTTCTAATGTGAAGAAGTGAGAGCTGTTCAATTATTAATTTATTTTAACTTAGACTTAGGCATTAGCTAACAGGCAACAGCTAACTTTATTACAAACTGCACAGCAAAAATTCACCTATTTTCAGGTAACTTTCTGCTAAAGAATCTGTACATATCCATTAACACTGTTTACCCTGAGTGGTGCTGCTTTTCATATTTGATTGGTAGTCAGATTTTTGAGCAAGAGGATAAGGGCCAGAGCAGTCTGTGGATGGGTAGCTATCAAAAGTGTTACCTGGGAACCTGTTGAAGTTCAGATTCTGAGAGCTCACCCCTAACCTACTGAATCAGTCTGGGATGAGAGCCACAGAAGATGTGTTTTAATAAGTCCTTTAGGATGTTTCTGATACTCAAGTTAAAAAAATACTGACTTAGCATATGGACCATATCTTATTCTTGTTTAAATGTTCCACACAGTTAAAACTACCCTTGAGATACTGGGAGGATATAAGAGGACACCTCCTTATCACTTGTGCCATCTGACACATTTCTCTGCTAACAGGCTTACACAAAGACACCTTTTGTTTCTTTCAGTGGAGATCTCTTTTAAGTTTTTAGAAATACAAAACACAAATGATCAAATTATGAGTATTATGATCAGGTAACAAATACTGACATAAATATTACATTTTTAAACTGGAAGATGTTTGAAATTTTTCTATCTCTCACTAAGTATTACATTTTTAGTACTAGCTGATAAGGAAAGGCCTTTAAACTATGAAAATTTAAGCATTACTATTTCTTATAAACTAGTCATGTCCTTGAATTTAAGCCTTGCTTTCTCATTCAGAACATTGGTGCTAGTAACAGTTACATATAAATAAGGCCTTCCTAACAAATATCTTATCTTTATATGGAAGGAAGTTCATGGAGAAGGAACTGACGTTCTTCCCCAATGGTGACGACAATTCATTTTTTTGAGTGTTTCCAAGAATTCAGTAAATAACAAAATAACATTCATTAAAAAAAAGGGCATGTTCATAGCAAATGCTAAAATCTTGTCCATATGCTGTTTGTATACTTTAAGAAGAATATGCTTTTGTGAGCCATTTTCTACACTTTTTCTTTGCCAAATAGGTTTCAGTAAAAAGCTTTTACTGCCTCAGTAAAACTGAGGCACTATTTTTACATACAACACTATTTTTCATTCAGAATTCCCAGTTCTCTATTTACTGTACATTTTCTCACTCATGTAGACTTTATACACCATGGATACACACACACACAAAAAAAAAAAAACAGAAAAACATAGCATATTTTCTAGATGGAAAATTTTTTTAAATGCTGATGTAGTTTAAGATCTATATTTTATGATATCAGGAAGATAATTTGTAGCAAAAAGTATAGACACTAGAATTTACAGTTTCACAGCTGAAGAAACAACCCTTTCAATCAAAACCAGAAAGAAATACCCAGGGATAAATATTTGAAGGGTGGTAAACGCTGTAAATTATGATTTGTATGTTATGAAAAAGTTCAGAGTCCACAACCAAATAAAATAATGAGGTTTACTATAGACAATTACGGGAAGCAACTTCATGTGCTGTCATGCAAGCCTACAACAAAATGACACACCTTTGTGCCTAAATTCCTTTTACTCAAAAGACAGCTAAAACACCATGAAAAACTTAAATTGGCAGCACTCTGAAGATATTGGGAAGTACAAAAAGCAGAAATTTCTCTCTAAAATGTGTTACTACATTAAGGCTTTTCAGACAGTTTTAGGAGTTTGAATAGAACAATGTGTGGGCTGGGAATAGGGTGGTCTTTTAGGTCTATTCCTGCAGGCTAGATAAAGATGATTTATTTATAAAGACAAATAGACAGATGATCTGATACCTGGACAGGCAACCAAGAAGAAGATAGTAAATAAGATGTCACTATGCTGCCCCACAACATCGCAAAGGCAACTTCCAACCACCATGTAGGTGCCAAGTGTGCACTGTGGGGCCATACTTAGTTTCTTGTTTATTTTAAGGAAAAGACAGTTTATGAGAGAACTAAAAAGGGTTCAAACCTTAAGAATAGTGAGAATGTGCTATTGCTGAACATTGTGAAGCAGCAACAAATCAGGTAACAGGAGAGCAGAGCAAAGAATCAACAAAGAGTCAACAAAATGGGTTTAAAATGCTGTAAAAGCTCATGTTTATGGTATGGAAATGCCCTTGTGAAGATGGGGTACAAATGACTGAGAAATTCCTCAGCTTAATGAAAAAGAATGCATCCAGACTTTACATCAAAAGCTGACCTAATCTCTCAGAACACGTATGATGCAGTCTGGCTGCTAGAACTCCATTTCTAGACGAATTCAAAGCAGGATTTCATCCTGGCCACTATTAGGTGTTGTCCCTACCACACTTAGCTCAAATAAGGATGGAATTTAAAAACCCAAAGTTCACATTTTTTAAAGTATCACATTTCAAGTCAGGAAAAGAGGAAGTTACTGTTTTAAAGAGTAGTGGGAAAAGTGAGGGTTGGCTGTTTCAAAAAATGTTTTAGGGTACATGAATACATAGAGGAGAGGGACCTGAGTTGGGGGCACCAGCTGCTGAGAATAGGGATTCTTCTCAGTGAGCAGGTCGTGACTTAGAAAGGCATTAAGTTGCTCAAAGGTAAGCATAAAAGAGAAGGCTTCTTAAATCAAAGATTTTTCCCAAATAAATGATATGTTACAAGACAGCAACTTAAGGGCTGTCCTTGGTGGTACCACAGGTTAAAGCACAGCACTGTGAAGCTATCAGCAGCTGCTTAGGCATGAGTTCAATCCCCAGACAGGGAGGTGACCCATATGGCACAGCAGACCTCTCCTGTCTTGCTCACTGCTCCCCTCAGAAGTGTATTTCATCAGTCTGCTTGTTCTGATCTCCACTCTGTCTCTGGTGAATGCTCTCACCCTACACCTCTGGCCTGTACCCCAGTTCTTATGCATGAATAAGTGAATCTTTAAAAAGAAAGAAAGAGAGAAACTTAATATACAAAATATTCTCACCTCCCCTGTGAATCTGAATATGGGGCACCCATATATTATATTATGTATCACCCCTGTTCTATACAAACTTCATATTTCTTAAAGTTCTTAAGTGTGTAATTTCCTCATTAATTAATAACAATGAGCACAATTTCAATGCTAAAAATAAAGTAAATGTTAATTTACTTTAAGGCACAAAAAAATAGTTTCCTTCCTTCCATGCTGACAACAAAGTATATACTCTAGTCACTAAAGGCACAAGCTTGAAGGATTATATTCTTCTTGGGGAACTTCCAGAGAATTAACTGGTTTACTTAAAAGGCATACTGGTCAATATGGAGGTGTCTCAAAACATTAAAAAAGAACCTCCTTTTGACCTAATAATTCCACTCCTAGGTATCTATCCCAAAAGTTCAAAAACACTAATTTGAAAAGGAACCACAGTTATTACTGCATTATTTATTATAGCTAAATTACAGAAAAAACCTATGTGCCCCAGAACAGATGAGTGGATCAAGAAGATGTGGTATATACACACAATGGAATACCACTCAGTGACCAAAAAAGATAATTAATGCCATTTGCAGGGACATGGATAGAGACTGAAAGGATACTGCTAAGTGAACTAAGTGAAGGGAAAGATAAGTACCAAATGGTAAGCTAATACGTGGAATATAAAGTAAATAAATTAATAGTCACATAAAGTCAAGCTGAAAAACTAACTCTTAATAGCTGACTAAAGATCTGAAGCATCAAGAAAGAGAAGAGTGAGGGAGGAGTAAGAACAAAGAGCGAAGGGCGCACCCTGAGTTATGGCGGTGGGCCGTAGGTGAGTGGGCGGTGGGCGCACTATGGCGGTGATGCCTGGAGGTATCCCAGTGTTACTCAGTTAAAAAAATAATTAATCAATTAATTAATAAAGAGAGGCATGCTGAACTAGAGCTGCCCTTTACCTACCTTTTCCGACACCCTGTCTTGCACAGGTGGCCCTGCACTGGGGAGTGGGGGAGGCAGTGGAGCTCGGCGCTTCTTCATGTCTGACTTCATAGACACTCCTGAAATGTTGCTGAGGGACAGGGATGTCCCCAGTGTGATGGAGTGTGACTTCAGAGAGGGGGAATTCGGTGTTGTTAAATAGCCCTGCTGGAAGAAGAGACAAACAAGAAATCTCATCAGTATGAGACTACAGCTCTGTGGATGAAGGCTCAAACCTAGAACAAGGTGCAGGCATCCATCCCAGCACTAATATCAACATTTCCAGAATGGACGAAGCAAAACTTTTAATGTAGAAAAACTTAGTAAATAGAAAACATTTTCACTTTGCTAGGATATTACATTAAGATATTTACATGACAAATCCCTGCTGCAAGGATTATTTTCTTAATCATAAAGAACATGACTGATGTTTTGAGTATCTAAGAACTTAATATTGACCAGTCTAAGGTATGAATCAACCTCCTTAAAACTTTACCCCATCATTAGAGTAAGCTTAGGTAACAACAAAAAAGAAGTAACAGTCCCAGATGTACACTTTTTCATTGAGAAACCAAGTTTAGCCACCTTGTTTCCAGGAGTGGCTTCCATTCTAACTTTCAGAAGTTATAAACTAATGACATTCTATGGAGTCATGATGTGCCACGACAGATAACAAATAAATGAAACAAACACAACCCAACACACTATTTGCTCCCAAGGAGCAATTTCTATATGGGGACTGATGGGAGACAAGACTGGATTGCAGTCTTGTCTCACTCTAGGCTGCTTAACAGAATCATAGATCAGAGGATTTAGAGAACAGAAACTCTAAATTCAAATTAAAGTGAAAATACAACTACCATCTGCTCTGGTGCTCTTTCTCCCTTCCCTACCTGGTTTCTCAATCAGCAAGGTGCCCAGGAGTATTTCACCTTGAGATCTCTGCAATAGAGAGGCACCCTCCTGGACTCCATTCCTGGTTTTGTCTCTTATAATTGGCATGAACTTGGTAAGTGTCTTAATTCCTCTCTGTCTCAGTTCACCTCCTATAAAACTGGAGTGATAACAGCTCTTATATCACAAAGTTCTCAAAATGCACGGGTTACTACATGTAAAACAGCACTAGAAAGTTCTTGGCACAAAGGAAGCACCCAGTATAGGCTAACTCTTCAGATGTCAATGTAATTGCTTATTTGTATGTCTCCTTGCCTATAAAAGTGGAAATTCCATGAGGACACAGATTATTGCCTATTTTGACCTATTATCATATATATGCCTTCAGCTCCTTCTAGAGTTTAGTGTGTGGAAGGCCTGAATCAACAGTCTCAAGAATGAAGAGCATACAGATGACCTCTGGTGGCTCTCTCACATTTCTCTCACATGATGATCTTGTGGAAAAGACTTCATTTATGCAACTAGTTCTTCATATTTAAAGTAAATAAACAAAGGAAACCCATCATATTCAGCAAGGGTCTTGTATTACCTGTGCTCAAATTCAACTTCTATACCTCCCCACCATATACATCACTTAGTTCCCTTAAAAGATTCTTGGGACTCATATCTTCTTGTTCTTAAATATCATTGAAATTGAAGGAAAAAACCAACCCCTGGGGTTGCTTTTCATGCCAGTTCATACTTCTTTATAAGACACATCAAAGTTACCCAATACCTGTCGCCACAGGAAATAAGGAAACAATGGATGGAAAACAGTTTGATACCCCCAAAGTGTGCTAATATCAATATAGGCTTCCATGGAAATGTGAGCATGTCTCCGAACACTTGACTTCCGCAGACATCAGACTGGTTTCTAAGCAAATAAGTCAATAGAAAAGTAACTCACATTCAGTATTTTCTCTGTCTTATACTTACTTGACGACAGAATACAGATTTACCTAACAATGCAGGGTCCACATGATAAAACAGAGTAATGAAGTAAATCAGAGTGGGGCCTGCCTAGTTCACTTTAGAACTTTGAAGGTGTTTCACTGGATGCTAGCTATACTCAAATGCCCCCACATGCAAGGTGGATACAAACATTTTTGTAGTTTGTTAAAACTTCTAAATACAATGAAACTACTCATACACTAAGCCAGTACTGCTATCTCTGAAGTATGCTCAGCCTTACTGACATTCCGTAAACACGATGTTCATGACAATATATTTCCCAACTCTGATGCTAATTGCTTTTCTTCACTCCACCCTGTCTAGACTTGGAACTTCTAGTCCTCTTGTCCTTGGTTCTCACCACAACTATGCATGCCTGCCTGATCACTCAGCACCACTGTGAGTCCACTTCTGTTCTTTGAAGCCCTGATGATTATTTGAAGCTCTGTGAAGAACACACCCTTAAATGTTTATATTGATTTTGGATATTAATTCTGAAATACTTCCGCTTCATATAGAAGATTGACATCCTAGACTGTCAACTCCTAGAGTTGAAGAACGAGAGATGAGGTTCTGATGGCACAGTGCCCACAATGTAAACCTGAGCAGGGATCTTAACAGCAGAAACATATTCATCTTTAAAATGGGAGAAGTTCCATTTTCTTCAAATTTGCTGCATCACCTAGTATGTTTCAACCACATTATAAATATCCAATATATGCCTGGTTTCCCTGATAATTCTCTCATTTCTTGAGAATGTACCTAAGAATGAACTCAGTTGGGCTACAACAAGGCTTTAAAACCAAACCAGAGCCCAGGGTACACTCCAACCCCATCACCTGAAAGGTCTGCCATGACAATAGGCTTCTCACCATCTATATCTGCATCTCCTAAACAGAACTAAATTTTGACATGTTATTTTTAGTCTATATCTGTTCTACTCAGCCCATAAATTCTCTCCCCATAAGCCCTGTGACCCTGCACAGTCACAGAGAGGCCAATTTCAGGGTCCACTAGACCTGGTCTATTGCCCTCCTTTTAGTTCTGCTACACAAATGTTACACAACCTTCAACCCATGGGTAGCCAAAGTGTTTGTGCTACACAGAGAATATTTGTGGTTTAACTCCTCTCTTTTTTCTTACTTTTGGAATTTGTACACAGACTGTAGAAAACAATGCACTGGATAATTGGGGTGGAAAACACCATTAAGTATAGGATGTCCTTTAAAATGCTGACACATAGCAACATTACATAAAATGGAAAACCATGACTCCAATTTTCAAGATATCCTGGCCATATCCTAGCATTCAAGTTTTTGGTGTTTTCTCCCATTAAAATGTGGCAAAATTCCATGAGGGACTGACCACAGCTTGCCTGCTAGAGGGATTTGGTTTCCTATTCCTGTCCAAACTAGCCAATAACATCTTTTTTTCAAAAGAACAAGTTCTTGTAGAGGATTTAGTTTTTTGTCCCTGTCCAAACTTTTTTTTAAATGCCATGTAATTTTTCTTGTCTTTCCCTAAATGTTGGTATCAAAACACAGATATTGTGTAAAATAACAAGCACTGTATTTTAAAGTAGTTTTTCTCTTGTAAGTCCACTCTG